ATTGTAAAGAATAATTAAATTATTGGTTAAAAATGTTAAATATAAAAAATATTTTTAGGTTCTCTAACTTCAAATTCCATTCATGAAATATAAGAAGTATTAATTTTAATTGATCAAGTTGAATTTAATTGTTCAGATTTCAGAACACAAGTATAAATAATCATGTTAGGTATGTTGGATCAAATATATAAGCTTTCAATTGCTCAAATTTATACTATTTCAAGTGATCAACGTTAATTTTAAATGTTGGAAATGACATTGCCATAACTTATTTAATATACATAGAAGCAATCTAAAGATAGTTATTCTATTTTAGTTGTTATTATATTGTAGTCAGCACTACACTTTAGCACTAAACATACCCTTCATGGGTCTTGGATTTGTTTCATTAATAAATAATTGTTTTTAAAGTAGGAACATACTTAGATTTATATTTCTGAGTCTAAATATAGGTTTGCTCAAGATTTTTTTATTCATAGTACTGAATCAAATACTGTGTGCGAAATTACTAAGCCTTGTTACCATAAAACTTTAAATAATTTTTGGCTTAGTTATAATATTATCAAACATGTTTTTAAGATACTTTACTTAGAAATACAAAGATATCCCATAAAGTTTTTGTGTGTTTTATGCAAGTTTTTTTATTATTTTCCTTAACTTTACTATAATTAAATTGTTACACAATATTATTGTGTCAGTACAGTGATCTACCATATCTCCCTATTTACAATTTTAACAGATAACTTGTATTACAGCCATCAGCGGTAGTTGTCAAGAATGAGGAAGAAAATGACCAATTATTGAAATGTTAAGAAGAGATTAAACCGAGACCACAAATCTATTTTAAAAATTGTATTACCGTGTTTAAGATAATTGTGTACTTCATAATAATTTTTTTGTATCTAATAATATTGTTATATTAATAAAATGATTAATTAAATATACCATTATTTAATGACTGCCTACAGAAAATGTAGTAACCGAAATGAAAAATATATAAGCCATGTTACTTTATAGGTTAATAAAAGAACAATATAATAACTTACACATTTAATTTAATGATTATAGTAAACTTTTAACACACTACAAAATAACTTTCAGTTATAGAAACTCAAACTTAAGTATAATAAAAACTAATTCAAACCCAGCCTCACATAGAGCTAATCAATAACATCTACTTTATTTTGTAGACAAATATATTTATTTTAATATTATATTTTCTAATTAGTTTGTAAAAAGTAATAGTTATGAACTATAAATTTAAAAAAGCTTAAGTACTTAAACCATCATGTATGTAATGATGGTATTTCATACTTGTGTAAAAAGCAGAATAATGTTTTTATCCAAAACCTTAATGTTATATCAATATTTATAAAAATATAGGAACCAAAATTGTACTGTGTTATCATTTATTATAAATTGAAGGATAGTCGAAATTCAATCATTTGAAAATGTCTGCACTATTGTGTCTTTCTATATCCAGGGGCCTTGTCTTCTTCAAAGGCAGAATGTAATTTTTCTACCAGGAATTTTGAACATTTGGATCTCTGAAATTATTAGATTTATAATTTTAGTATAGTAGAAAAATACAAATATTTTACAAAATTTACCTATCTTAACTTATTTATCGTTTTCTGTTCGACTTATCTCTGCTGGAGACAAGACATGATCAAGACTGCATCGAAAAATTGGTTCTAGGATAAAAATGATATTTTTAATGCTAAAATAATCAAAATGTTTACCTTAGAATATCTATTTACTAGTCTCTTCGTTCATCTCAGCAGCATATGTTCAAGGTTTCGTCAATACCATATAATTTCTTGGGTATTGGAAAAAAGCGATAGTAACCAACGCCGAGAAACCAATTGGTCGTTTCGTGCCTACAATTTCTTCGCCATCTATAGATATTATATGAAGTATTTTTAATGGTTTATATCATTTATTTCATGAAATAGAGGTTTAAGCTTTTAAAGTGGAAACGAGCCTTCTGTAACAATAACAAAGTTCTATTTCACGAAGCCTAATGCTTATATATATAATTTTTTTCGTAAAATATAGCTGCATTGATAACTATTCAATTCAATTTCAAAAATTCTTTATTTTGTTTCACAAAAATTTATAGTGCTACATATCCAGTGTACATTATTTATAAATATTATTTTATAAACTTACCCCAACAATCAACATACATATAGATTGTCCTATGTTAGAATATTTTCACATAAAACAAGTTTTAACTTCGCTAAAAATGGCTACCTCACTGGTAAATTACGATTTCAGCGAGGGAAGAGCAACTTTTAATTTGACGTAAAGAATCTACATTTAAATGAGATGAGATGTCAAATGGTATGTATCAGAATACCAAATATCAACAATTTTGGAGCGTAAGTGTAGCAGTGCCAAATTTTAGTTCCAAATGTGAACAATCTCATTTGAGCGGCGCTTTTGTCGCGGTTATTGTTTATCAGAATACCAAATTGTAACATGACACCGAAACGAACGATTTGACAGCAAAAATCAGCGCTGAGAGTGTGTGAAGCGAGTTACAGAATCGCAGGGCAGGTTAATATTTATTGTTCTACGAGAGGTTCAAACACAACTCTGCTCATCTCATGAAAAAACCGTTCAATCTTCCCCTACTCACCTTATATATAAAACGTTGTTTATTACGAACTCCAAAACAGCGTGATTTTTATATTAGAATAAAAATGCCGCATCTATTCAGTTTGAAAACACTAATTCGCTATCCTCGTCTGACAAATGATGTTATGCGTTAACTCTCTTTCACTCAACCTGAAATATTTATCATGTTTAACAGCAGGTAATCCTTAGATTAAATAGTTTCAATTTAATATATAATTAATAAATGTACGTTATTATAAATGTATCGAAATCATACCTGTTTACACCTGGCTGCGAAGAAGTGCGGCCAGGTGCTCAACGGCAACCGTGATTTTTTAAAAATCTTTATGTAAATGGCCGTGATGTAGACGATATTTTATTTAAAATTAATTGAATTGATTCAACATAATTAAAAATACTAGCGGCCAAATTTTGATAGGCAACTTGGTAGATATTATACAGTCTCCTAATTATAAATATACTTACATAAAAAATTGTTCTTTAGCAAATAACCGATGAGCGCACTAATCCTGCCCGAATTTTAGCCTAGAAATCATTGGTGCATTTTCTCTCTACAAAGATATTCCCTAATTTTCTTTTCGTATTTCGAATGAAGATTGAAGTCTATTTACGAATCAAGCTGCATCAAAATTTACGACTATGCCAGTATTCTTAACGCTGCGATTTAATTATAAATTTGTTTGAGGCTGCGCCATATTGCGACATCATAGCTGCTAATGTAAGCTAATCAAAAACTATTAAAATAAAACTATCTTTTTAAATACGTTTTGTTGGGTTGGATTTAGAACTACGTCGCCCGAATTTGAGGATACTGATTATGTAGGTGTCATGGGGACCTCGATTGGAGCACCTCCAAGTGATTTTTGCTGCCGGAGTTGCGTCTAAGTATTAAAAGAACAATTTCAAAATTTGTGAAATGTATTGAAATTCGTAAACAAACAGTACATCATCCGTACATTTTCTACATTTCTATTGGTCATTAGAGATGTACCATTCTGCATAAAAAAATCGTTTTTTTTAAACTAATCGATTGTTTGTAGCAAGAAAAATCGATGAATAAATAATAATCGAATTTTTTATATTTATAGTCTGTTTAGTACCCCTAAAGTGTTATTTAAAACCGTAGGCTCGGAGGAAGAGCAGCCCCCACCCGCTGTAGCAAAGAACAGGCATTATGAATTAAAGATTGACTAAAAGACTGCATTTCCCGTAGCGCCGAAGCTGTCCAAAAAACCAATTATTATTTATTGTTCGGTTAGGTTAGGTTAGCATATAGAAATATTATTTTATATATTTTTTTCAACAATTCAAACTTTCAACCTAACTTCAAGCGTAGTGTTCAGTGTGACCGTTTTTAGTATATTCAGTACCAAATTGGTATAATTTGGGCTCCGTAAAACTATTTTTTTTTTGTATCCTTTCATATATTTTGGTACATTTTTAAACACATTATTGATATATTTTTGGGTTGGGCGGGCAACACTAATTTCCATTCGTTCACATAATGTTGTCTTTGTCTGATGTTTACCGCAACTGTATCATTTTGTATTACTGAAACTTAAAAAACGATTCCTAGCTTTCCACAAGTAGCGGCTTGTGAAAATTTTATATCTCTTACCAGCGTAATGAACAGGTTTCCGAACAATGACAAATGATACAGTAAGACAATTAATGACGGGGAATATCGTCAAATTAAGAATGATTCAGAGGTACAAAACCTGATGAGTGGTTCTAGTAGTAGTGCTAGTGCTGTAAATATTGAACAGTTATACAGTAAATGTTCCTAAGTACAAAATTTTGACTAATTATGTAAAATGTCTAATGGGCATACCCATTTCAAATGCTGAATGCGAAAGATTTTTTCAAAAGTTAATCATATAAAAACTAAATACAGAAACAGTTCTTCTATTGCGTGCGTGTTGCACGTTAAGCAAGGTATAAGTGAAGGGATTGTAGTTGTGTCTCATTTGACCCATCAATGATATGGTAAAAAATAATCAGTCGAATCGTGTTTTGGCATTATTTAGTACTGGCACCTTGTAGTTTTAGTAGATCACCATATTTTTAAACGGTCACACTGGTTGTATTGTTGTTGTCACGTACTATAAGAATTAAGAACTAAGAAGTTTTATAAAGCTCTAAGTACACTCGTAAGAATAAAAGAAGGAAGAGTTTAAGAAGTAATAAATAAAACGTGGCACTCCGCAGTATGTTTATATGGCTTTAGCCTGCGCTCTTCCCTCAGGAAGAATAAGTAAAAAAAATTAGCGGTTTTTTAAATGATTAATGAACAACAATATTTTAAGTACCTAATTAATTTATTAGTTCTTGTTTAATATTTTTATATTTGGAATAGAATGAATAAAGCGCAGTGCCTTCGAAATGTATTACAAAGTAAAGAATTCAATACATTACCAATTTTTTTAAAAGGACTCGCCAGTTTTATTAATGGTGATGAAGATAATAAGTTCAAATCAATTAGTTCCTACTTGGTGGATTCACAATTTTTATCTGAACTTAAGGCACCCCTACCTGGTGTTGATTTCGCTTTTGGTGACTCGCTAAGGGATGTCAAATGTACTTTAAGGGACGAAGAGTCAAGGCTTCATGAATTATATATAACTTATGAAGGTGTTAAAAAGTTAAAGATCACTTCAGGTGATATCCCGTATGCGCCATTTCTCGAGCAATGCTTTAGCAATGTTGAAGAGCTTGTTGGTGCTTTCTTTAGACATGTCAAAAGCTTACAAAGTTATTTCTATGAACTTGAGAATATAGATAATAATTGTGTGATATTGGATCCAATCAAGCCAACTTTTAAGGATAATTTCAGGAATATTCGCATTGGTTTGTTTTTTACTTTCTACATAGGTTTTTGTTACCTGTTTGCTCTTAATTAAATAAACTTCTTTTGTAGATGACAAAACATGGCTGTATGTAGAAGTTACTCTAGATGGATACCCTTCAAATATGCATCTAATAGGGCAGTCCGAAGTATGGCAAGGAAAATTACAAGATGGAATTTTAAATTGGGACCATGATAAAAATATAGTAGAAAACATAACATCCATATTTGGTAAGTTATCCATATAATTTGATTGTATTTCAGATAACGTGGGGTCTTAGATAAGTGATTGAGAATCAAAAATCTTTTATATAAATTTTGAACATACAACTAAATATAATAATTGGTAGACAAGATTGGTACTAACTTCAAACTATTTAAACATAATACTTTAGGAGACTGTAATGTATGTGTAAAATTATTTTTCAGATTTAAATGATCATTCAATCTCATTTAAATCCCTAAGTGAAACTATGAAGCCATGTGATGCACAAGAGAAAGATGATATAATATGTGGAATATGTTTCTGTTCTGAGCTGCCTGATAATCTCACTGTACCACAGCCATTATGCCAGAATTCAAATTGTGATGTTCACTTTCATAAAAGCTGTTTGTTCCAGGTAATGTAATGTGTCTCATTACTATGATTTAAGAAAATATTTCAACTTCAACTATGATATCTGACTAATAACAAATCACGCTTAGAGTAAGATTCAGAGATGGATTATTTCTGACCATGGGATAATTTAATAGGACAATTTTTCTTTGTATTTTTTTCTATGCCATTTAAATTTTTTATGATTTTTCAGTGGTTGGTTGCATGTGAAGGAGGAAGGCCTCCATCTTTTGGAATTATAAATGGTAGCTGCCCTACATGTCTTCAACCAATCTCATGTAGTAATAATAACTGATCCATTGGACATGACAAAAATAGCAATGTAATGAAATTTTTTAAGATGTATGTCATAAATGTTAATAATTAAAAATCCAGAAAACAATATGTTCAACCATTCAATCTTGGCCTAATGGCTTACGCGTGCGACTCCCTACTTTGAGGTCGTGAGTTTGAATCACGCAAAATCGAAGCACCAATGGTAAATGGTCTTATTTATGTGCACAATTAACACACTTGTGAAACAAAGAAAAAGCTTGTGAGGATAACAACATGCTATAGATACAAAAATCGTCAGTGTGACTTTTGTATGTGTTAGAAAATAAGAAAGAACTTGCATTTACTTTTTAATATCATAAAGTTGTTGACATATTAATATATGGGTTACACATATTAATTCTGTTTATAGAAGCTTTTTTGTGTGATTTATTTTCTTTTACATAAACAATTTATTTAGAATCGATCAAGGCCTTAACTACCAGAACAGAAAAAATAAAAATTATTTATACACAAAGTAAATGCATTAATTAATTATTTATTACTAAACAAGTTTTTATACAAAGTTGATAAGTTTTGGGTGTGATTTTCAATTACCATGTAAAAGTAAAAAGTAATATGTCAACTACAGAGAGGTAATTCATCACAAGGGGACTGCATCAAATGTACGCGTAAGGCTTGTGCTTGACCCTGGAGCTTCCCCACCCTGTGGACCAGTATCGCGCCCAACATTCTGAAATTTTTTTTTAGTTACTAGAATCATACATACACCTATCTGACAAAATTAAGAGTGAATTGTAAGCATGAACTGATTATTTTTTTGAAAATATTGTATACAATACTTGTACTTTAACATTGTGGTTGCAAATAAAACTATTACTAAATTATTAAAAATTGTTGGGATATTATTTCTGTATATACTATTATAAAGTACAGTTTGCTGTTCCTTACCTTAACTTGCATTTGATTTTTTATCATGGCAGCTCGTAAAATAAACATAGAAGTACGCCGCTGATACTCTTTACCCATGGCCAAGCTTTTTTCGAAAGTAGTACTTCTCTGGTCTACATCTTTAGCATATAATATTTTATTATGTGAATCAATACGGGCTTGTATTTGACCATCAAGAATCAATTGCATGAGTTCATCCTCAAGAGCATTCACAGTCCGGTTAAATGCAGAAGCCATCAAACGCATGTCAGCTGACAAGTATGGACTGAAGTATTGAATTAAAGCTCTGTTTCGTATTTGCATATAAAGAGAATTTAAGTGAGGTGCTAAATACATATCTAGGAGTAAGTTGTCCCTTATCTCATCAAGTAATCTTAAGCAGGAAGCATATTTAGATTCATAGAACTTAAAAATTATATCTCGCAATTGCGGCTCTAGTTCTAAGAATAATTTAAAAGAACTACTAACTATAACTTGTTTTTGTAATTCAGCACGATCAAAAGTTGCAAGTGCACATAATCCGCCATACACAGCAATATTATTGCTGCTAAGTAATTCAGGGTATTCACAGTGGTCAATACTTGCAGCTAGAAAATGTTTTGCTGCAGACTTATATTTCTTTGTTGCCAATTCTGCAAGTCCTGCAGCACATTTTAGGCGTGTAAATATGACATAGTTAGAATCCTTTGGCGGGGCCTCATGAAAATCTGGGGTGCTCTCAGCTTTTGATACATAGTTGAGAACATGAGCCCAATTTTGCAAATATACAGACACTTTAACTACATTGAGGCACATCATAATTACATGTTTTCCACTAGTGCAATAATCTCTTGCTCTTGAATAACATTTCAGTGCACTTGTCAAGTCTCCACAGTCCAGGTAATGATCACCTAAGTCATCATGCCCTCTTCTAATGCTTTCCTTAATAGAATTTGTTTTATAGTTTTTTAAGTCTGTATCTAACTTTTCCAATTTGATAGCAGCTTTTTTGGTCTTTGACTCAACCCACATAGTATCGGGAACAGGAATATCCTGTGATCCCATTTGGACAGCAACATCAGGAAGGCCAGATGAAGCAATTGCTTCAGCAAGTTTTTTGTGAAGAGTTTGGTAAAGACTTACATTATAAGTCGTCATTACATACGATATGGCCATTTTAAGGGCCTCTAATCTCAGTGATGGACAATGATCAGCTACAAACATTAATCTATACAACTTCGCAAAACCAGTATATGAGGCAGCATAAGTCTCTAAATCCAATGTAGGGTTTTCTACCACAAAGCACTCTGTCTCATTGTTTTCATTGTCTTCAAGTGGAACGTCCACTTGCATAGGTTCCGCCGTATTCTAAAAATATAATATGATAGTATAAGTTTATTCAGTCATAACATATTATTTAGTGAAGTAATGGTAAACTTACCAATTCAAACATGTTTATTTAAGTAAATTCTTATTGTACTACAGAAAATATCCGAATTCCACTGTCAACGCAGGAAACCAACCTAGAATACAATTAAGCGTTAAGATTTTAACATTGACCTACTTTGTCGTTTTACTAACCTGTAAGTTTTGTAAATAAGGGAAATTTATGTAATATAATCTATTAACAGTAACATCATAAAACGCTAACAAAATACCTTTATCATTACGTTTCTTTTTTGCAGCGGCATTTTTCTTTTTGACGATTGACGTCTTATAAATTGTTGCCAGTTAATTTTGCGTGTGAAATAACTTTACGACAACTTGCGTTTTTTTAAATTTTAATATAAATATCTTGTTTAAGTTTTGATCATATTTGATAGAGATATTTGATCATGAATAGTAAATGATTAGCAAGACAATTGCCAAATTTAAAAACATTTTCGTCCCCTGTCGACATTTTTGGTATCGATATAAGCGATAATTACGATTTTTTTTTTATATGAAAATTACTCTTCACAATAACTTGTTTATTGGTTTTTTTATTACTCTATGACATTAAAATGTTTAAAACACAGTTATAAAAGAATCAGTATGGAAATAGAAATTCAATAAATATTCCAAAATTGACATTTCAACATTTAATCGGGCAAAGTGCATTTTCATTTAATTCACGATTCTGAACCTAAATCAAATATATCCTATAAAGATATTCAATGGTTCATAATATATATTTATACTTTATAAACGTTCGTACCTTTAGTAATGGCAATCGTAAAAACGCGCAGGCGCGTAAATTTATCCATGACATACATAATACATATAACATATTATGCCATGGGGTAATGGAGTCACAATATCTAATTACTTTACAAGATGTTTTACCAAGTATATCATTTATTAAAGTCTGTACTTAACAATAACACTATATTAATAATATTGATAGGTTGCTACAATCTAAGATTATTGTCCCGAAAAAAGTGGAAAACAGGTGCGTACCTATACATGTTCATATTAATAAATATTTTGTATATAATATTAGCTATTCGAATTAAAATATACTACTATTTAAAATATACTTAAATCATAAATAAATCGACGTAATATCTATGTTGATTTATTTATGATTTAAGTATATTTTAAATAGTAGTATATTTTAATTCGAATAGCTAATATACAAAATATTTGTCAATATAAAGACAATAATTTTATCTACTCTATAATAAAAGAATTGATCAGTTCTACGAATCGACATTGTTTTGGTAGCTTACCTAAAGGGTTAAAAAAAACCTGACATTAACTGCTCTATGATAAGATTAGGTAGATTTATATCAATTTATATAATATGCAAAAAGATAATTTGTCAAAATACATTGCTTGCACGCGTACATTGTTTACTTTTATAAACGCGTTGTACTAAAACAATCCCGTATATAAATAACATTTAACGAGTTATATTCAGTAACATAACAGTCCCTTAGCCTAATGCATGTCAGGTATAAAAGTTCACTGTACAACATAAAAATTTGTGTTTACAACGACGTTACAAGTGTGATTTTTATATGGTATTGCGAAATATGCGAAATTGTATTTTATTTAATTTATTCTTTATTTAAGGGTGCAAACGTTTTAGGTTGGTCGGTGGGTCTCCTGAAGGCTGGTTAGAAATGTTAACTATTAAAGCGTTAATATTGACTGCGTATGTATACTATTGTGAAGGAACATCGAGAGCGGTACTGAACGATCGACCTATTATCGGCGTGTTATCACAAGAACAATCTAAACATCTTCATTCGAAGTTTCCTGACGAAAACTATACGAGTTACATCGCTGCGTCATACGTGAAGCATGTTGAAGCCGCGGGAGCACGAGTTGTGCCAATTCTGTGCGTAAATATTTGTAGGTTTATTAAGGTTACGTATGTAAGGTCGCTTTTTGGTTATATTTTATTTAAAAAACTAATTAGAATGGCTTGTATAAGCTATAAATTATATAGCTGTTATGGATGTGTAGCAATTGAAACTAAATTTTGACTGCTTTTTATGTTAATTGAAATTTAGATTTCTCGTGATTTAGCTATAAAATGTCTATTTTAAAAATAGATTTTATTTGCAGGATTGGAAAGAACCGCAAATATTATGAGGATCTTATGAAAAAAATCAATGGGTAAGTTAGAAAATAGAAATAAAGTTTTATCTAATGAATGCAAAACATTAGTTTATTATTATATCAGTGTCACCGAAATTTTCTTTTGCATCATCAAGTATGAAATTTTTCAGGGTATTTCTTCCAGGAGGCGCCACATTCTTCAATCAGTCGAATGGATTTGCCGATGCTGGACAGCATATTTACGAGATAGCTCAAGGAATGAATAGATCGGGAGACTATTTCCCAATTTTTGGCACTTGTTTGGGATTTGAATTACTAATAATACTCGCATCTGGAAGAGGGGAGAAGGAAAATAGAGTCAAATGCTATTCGTTTCGGAATTTATCGCTCAACTTTACAAATGGTAAGAAATAGTTTAAATGTTAAACAAGATATTTAGATTATTTAATATTAATTTTCATCACGACGATTAGCAAATATGTTTCATAGATTGATTATCGTGTATGGATTTGTAAAATGTACAAATATTGTTCTTCTTCTGCCAAAATTGGTTAACGTCATGCATTGCATGAAGTTGGCTAGAATTTGCGTTTGAATTAAGTAGAACAAAAAACCAATAGTAATTGTAGTGTAATTGGTTACACACAAACTTCAAATGCAATTATATTAAACAAATTAATCTAGACATGGATATTGCACTTGCGCGAAATGTAAAGACTCAGACAGTCGATAAATACATATTATAAAAACATTAGGACATCCATAGTAGGATAGCACACTTTGAAATCAATTCCTTTAGTTTTTATAAATTATGAATTGATGTAATTTTTTTTCGTTCGTGTTTGTTATGTTTACCTATAAGTGCTATTCGCCTTAAATTTTGTCGTTTATTTTTTTTATGTACCAATGAGTCTGCCGAGCGTTAGCAAGCTTTTGTAAATAAATAAATAATAAAACTTTTCGAAGGAAACTTTTGCCAAGAATTAGAAACTGAGAATCCATAATTAGATGTATGGTTCAAAATTTTCTAAGCTTTTAAGCCTTAGGTTAAAATAAATTCAGCATATATTATTATTAGCTAAGACTAAAACGAAAAAAAAAGTTATTAATTTGCTAGACTCGAGTTTTGTACGTAGATTTATTAACTAAATAAACGAATCTAACTAAAAATAACTATTAATCTAGGCCTTTACTGGTAAAGGTGCGAAAATGAAATCCTGCGTTCTATTTATAAAAACTCGTTCTTTGTTTGTCAAACTGAACAATAACAAGGCAAACAAGATTATATTATATTACCTTTCGGTATGTCCACAGTCTATAACCGTGTACACTGGAGATAATAAATATATTTTTTTTATATAAAACGACTAGAATTTGAAATCTTCATGTGGAGCTACAAACTTTTAGGTCTGTGTCTCAGATTTCTGTATCTGTTTCGCGATCATTTGTTATTTCTAGTAGGCGAGTACAAGTAGCGGCACGAAACTCTAGCGCTGACCGTTATTGCGCAGAAGTAAAAAATAAGGTACCTGAGGGGGGCTAGCGGGCGCGCGTAGCGTCGATTGGCTCTCCAGTCGCATTCCGTCCCCCGCGCGACAGTACACATGCGCAGCAATCCCCTCCACGTATCGGCCAGCGGTAGACTTACGTGCCGCTGCCTATAGGTGATAAGCCTTTTGTGCCTAATACACTTTTTGTGTCTACGGCAAGGTTTGCTCACGGTCTTATCGTACACCGACCGAGTGGTAATAGACATAAAGTATAAAGCACAGCCGCGGTCGAATCTACGTCCTCAAGGATGAGAATCGGACACCAAAGCCACTAAGCAAACACTCTAATATTAATATCTATATATTTTTATTTTCGTTTGTTCTTTTTGATCTAAAAGAGTTCTCATCTACTTCATGTTTATTAACATACATTATTATTCAATCAATAGTGCCGTTTTATTCCCGGCGAAACAACAGTTGTGCGTTAGTAGGCAAAAAGTCTGATTAAGACGGTCAATCTAACGCAGAATTGGCGTGCTTAATGCTCCATTGTTTTACGGGTCTTGAACTCTTGAAAGACAACAAAATTTGATTTATAAAAAACTTAAACCAAAAAATTAAAGAAATTAAAAATAGCTCCAGTATAGTACTGTTAGGAACACTACCACGTTTATGATATCGATACGTTATCAATTTACAAACAGTCAGTAATGAGTTTATTACTCGGTGAACTTGACCTGGTAAATAATAATAACAACACAATGTGTACCAATGACCGGAAGAGGTTTTTTATTATATTTCTACCATTATTATGATCCGCATACAAAAAATTTGTAATACGTGGAACCCATCCACAATCGTATCTTGTATCTGTGGTCACCTATACAGGCTCCACTTGTCTATGCCCAACGCACGGTCACTGCACGCATCAATATATCATCTAAAATATTCTTATCAATGACCGAAGATGGTTTCATTCTTGTATTAAAAAAAGTAAAAATTAGGTATAGAGACCTAATAGTTCTCGAATATGTACATTGTACGTATGTATTATATTTTGGTGGGTTACATGGCTTGGACCTTTGCTTTCGCATAATTTAGCGTTATTTATATCAAATAGAATACAAGTACCTATACCTATATAGACTATTACTTTGTATACAATAACATTAAATAAATTAAAAGACTATTTAAAAGTCTTTGGTGGTGTTTAAATAGAATATGTTAAAGCAAATTAAATAATCTTTGCCATTGTCTACACTCATATTATAAAGAGGGAAGATTTGATTGTTTGTTTAATTGAATTGAATAGGGACTACTGGATCCATTTGAAAAATTCTTTCATCATTAGATTCCTACATTACTCCTGATATAATATTTTCAAATAAGTAAGGGTTACGTATGTAAACTTGGATAATACTGTATAGGAAGGTGTTAAAAAATACTACTGCGAAACTATGTACTAACAATAGAGCAACTACTACAGTTTTATAGAAGACCGCGATAAAGTCCGCGATATCATATTTCTAACTAAAATTTTTATAACATTAATATTCAGCTGTGCGAAGCTAAGAATGAACGCTAGTATAAAATAAATTTAAAAAATTTCAGATTTTCGTAGCAGTAAAATGTTCAAAGATGCCACTGAAGACATCATCAGAATTCTTGAAACTGAAGATATCACTGTCAACGCACACCAATTTTGTATACTCGACCAAGTAAGTCGATTTATTTTTGTATGACTTTAATTTTGTATGACAGATGTTATGCGCAATGCGCCACAGTTTCCATACAAATATTTGGGACAGGCGTTTTGTTTAGCGTATTAAACTTTAGCATTGGCATATTAGAAATGTGGACTAGACGCTTGAGACAAAATGATTTGTCGACATTCGTGTTCCATTTACGCTAAACGAATTTGTATGGGAATGGTCACGTGACAAAGGTTTCCATGTAATAATAAAATGACTAACAATAGTCCATGTTTTATAATAAGGCCTTACTACGTTGTTTTCTTAAACCGTTAAATTATTTATCATTAATTTTAGTAAGGAGACCCACCTTGTTTAAAGTAGTACCTGTTCGTAATTGAGTGCGTTTACGATCTTTCATAAGTTAAAGTGATGATCTTTTTAATGGTTTCAGAATCTGAAATCTCATAACTTGACTAAAGACTGGCGAGTTACGTCACACAGTAAAGACGACAACGGGACATCGTTTATAGCAACTATTGAACACACAAGGTGAAAAATATAGGTGTTTGTTGTTAACTATTAAATTACCAAATTTAATTAGTTTAAACGAAAAAATCATAGCCATTCATAGCATCACTCGCGTGGATTTCGTGTATTTTTATTGTGTGTATTTAGTAGTATTGGCAGTCAATTTGCATTTCATTTAAAAAATATATAATATAAACCAATCCTGCATGGTTTTACTGACGAAATGTATTTCTTCTACTCAACAGGTTGGTTTTTAACTTAAGCAGTAATTTGTTGCAAAAAACTACTATATGAAACCAGCTGCCTACTGAAGTATTTCCGAACCTATTCATCTTAGGGTTCTTTAAGAAAAGAGCGTACCAATTCTTAAGAGTCCGGCAACGAACTCGCGAGCCCTCTGGCATTCTGAGTGTTAATGGGCGGTAGTATCACTTAACATCAGATGAGCCTCCTGCCCGTTTGCCTCCTGTTATATAAAAATATTAAAAAAGCTATATTTTTTTTCAATTTTAAGTTTTTCTCATTCGTACCAATAGTTAAACTCGGCCAGGAAACTTCATTTTATAATATGTAAGGATATGAGGAAATGAGTAAGTTTAACTAGAGAAGCACAGAAGTAAGGGACGAAATGTCAAATAGTGTTAAGAAAATAGCAATTTCATTCTGGGGTGATACAATAAAATAAACTTAGTATATATTTATTATAAGTGCCATCTATCGGAATATGAGAAAACTACGCTCCGAGAAGTTAGATAGAAGCATTTATACTATTAGAAGGTTATAATCTGGAAGTATTGTTCAAGTTATTACTTTTATTGAAATAGTTCAAATTTGGCTGGAGGATATCGTAAATGAATGGACTATTTTAAGTTTAGAAGGGAAATATTGTTTTCCCTTCACACCGATGTTTAAGAGGAAATAATCTATCGATTATTTTCTATGAAACGTATACAGTCAGAACAATATAGTTTATATTCTATTTCCAGGTATCCCTTCTATGGAGTTCAATTTCACCCCGAAAAGATCGCCTACGAATGGAAGGCATCTAAAAATTACCCGCACACAATGAACGCGTTACACACAAATCGATATTTCATGGACTTTTTCGTAAGTGAATGTAGGAAAAATTACCACCGATTCCCCAGTACGAAGGAGGAAAATGATTACTTAATATATAAGTATGTACCAGTTTTTACAGGTGAACTTGGGAGTTCGTACCAACAGTGTTATTTCTTTGAACCTAGAGGTGTTGATACTAAATATAACTTGGATCTTTTAAAGGATAAACATGATTCGTATTATAGAACAGATTTGTATTAATATTTTGTATCGAATATTTAATCATTTATTTCCATATTCACATTTCCATGTCAAATTTCACAAAATAATATTGAATTTGGATTGGATGATATGTCTTTTCATTTTTTTACTAACATAATTTAGCTGGCATAACACACAAAATCTGGAAATAATTGCTAGTCATAATCGTTTATTATAGGGACAGAAAAAGGTTAAAAATGTTGTAGAGGAATAGTTTACACATTGACCCATAATATCAAACATTTTGTTAATTTCCTAAATGGTCTCTGTGCGGAAAGAGAACAACCCTTCTCTCCGGGAATGGAGGGCGTTGCTAAATTACTCTTTTTAGGTTAATAGCACTGTAATTTCATTATAGTCTTGATTCGTTTAATATAAAAACAATTAAAGGGTTAACTTGGAAATAAATTAAACGACGCGTAGCAAATAATAATTATTTATGTGTCCGCACAGACAATGAAACGTCAACGTGTGGAGACATAATTTTACTGCCTTTGTTATAATATATCCGCAATTGTAGAGAACTTTAAAAAATTAATTCTTATTTGTTCAAAACAAACTTAGGTTCGGTATACCATTATTAAAACTATATATTTGTCTTAGCATAGATTATATGGTATGTACTTAGTTGATACTAGGTCTGACAAAGAAGTTTTACTGTGATTAAATTAAATTAATGTTACCTCAAACATGTTTTTTATTTCTTGGTTGGTTATTAATATTTAGTAAGTAAATTAATGTCGCATTAAGAACCATAAATACAGATTTCTCAAGTTTTTGATTGTTTGTTCCTCTAGTAAGAAAAAGCTAATGCCTGCTATGTGAAATAGAGCAACTACTTATTTGTTAAGCCTTTATTGCTGACACCCAGTATAATATATAAACACTTATTTAAGCTACATAACCTAACTTAATCTAATACATCACATGACCCGTTTTTGGTAATCGGTGTGTCCTGCGGCATATAGGCCTTCCCAGCTGCTTTTATTATTTTCTGTCTTCTATTATGTTGCTCACCTTGTCCAAGTTTGCCTCCTATATATATATATATATTTATGTATCGTCTGTCCATTTCAAACTGCTATCCCTCGTCATGTACATGTACAAAAATATACAATTATTTCTTACCTTTCTGAGTCGACTGTGATTCCCGTAGTTGTAAATATGTTCTTGACATACGTGGTCAAACTTGGCGCGTATGCGCTTACTTAGTTAATACATTTTAGAAATTGTAATAGAATGGGCTTACACTAGAGAATAGTAAATCCTTAACATCTGTTAACACAACACATAACACACACTTGGCGACCACAACATGTCTAAAAAAATATTTATAACCTCCACTACCTATGGCTCAGCGAGTCCAAAGGGATCACGGTAGGATTATTAATAGATTACCAAGGGACCTTATTGTGACATTAACTTCAGAAACGAGAATAAATTTTTAAATTGGTTAAACGAGTTGAATTTAAAAAAGTAAACAGCTCAATAAGAGGTTCCTTTTATTGGTGATCTTTGTATTTTTAGGCAACTGGTACAAATAGGTAAAATCTTTAATTAATCAGTTTTGATACATTATCAGATAAGATTAAGTGATATAAATAATGAGAAATTCACATCCAATCATTCACATAGTTGACGCGGAAAATGGAGTATTTTTTATCCGTTTCCATATTTATTTTCGAGTGTATTTCTATTAGTGATGCGATTTATTACCCCAAAGAAATAAATGAGCGTCCAATAATTGGCATTCTAAGCCAAGAACAGTCTCGCTACCTTCATACTAAGTTTCCCGTAGAAAACTATACGAGTTACATTGCAGCTTCTTACGTGAACGATGTGGAAAAATCTGGAGCCCGGGTAGTGCCCATATTGTACGGCGTTCTAAGTATTATTTTAACTTTTTATAAAAATTTATTGATCTTTCTATCATATCATTAGATTATGGGCAATGGCAGAGCTGATGCATATCTCTTAGGCATGAGGCAGATATAAAAATGCGTTTGTTTTGTTTGTTTCATTAATAGTTTTCTTCATAAGCCAGTAACCAGCTTTCTGTTTCTGACACTGATAGATTTACAACTTTATAATAAAATGTCATTATGATTTAAATTTGGAAGTGCGTAAGCTAACTTGGTGTTTAATTTTGCAGAATTGGAAAAGATCGTAGCTATTACAGAGATTTAATGCTTAAACTTAATGGGTGAGTGTAAATATTTTCGGCTTTTTTTGTGGTGTTTGAGCCATGAAAACTGTTGGTAAAATTGCTTCATTATTATTTTAAAAAGCATGGTAAAATTAAGTTATGTTCTGTCAGACTTGTTTTGATAGAACCACACGGTATCCGACCTAACCAGGACTTGCCGTTCCGTGCTCTACTGAACTGGGAGGCCGTGTCGCTGGTCGCATCGTAAGAAATGTGCGAACATAGCTTTTTCAATTATCATATTATTTTAAACATCCATATTATATCTGTGTTTGGTAAATTTAACGATAAGAGGCAAAAAATATTTCCTAATTCCTATCATGAGAATTCTTGTGGGCAAGAAGCTGCGGGTCGGTGTCTAATCAGTTGTGACCTTTACAATATAATTATTGTAGCCTTTATTTATAGTCTCAAAGTTTCCTCAACAGTAGGTAGTATAGTTAAGTAGTATATTTAAGTTCATACATTTGTTTAGTAGTTTTAACATGTAGTATAATTAATTTAGAAATGTTAAATTTATATATTTCTATGTAATTATGGCCTCACTAAGAAAGCACAAAAACGGCCTCAGGACAGTCAGGTTTCAAGTCAAACAATTACTGTTGTGTATCTTGTACCTTAGTAGCAACACCCACAATCAAGGGTTAAAATCACAGCGATGACGTCAAACCCTGAATCACGTTAAAGTTATTCCGAGCCCTAAGAATATATAACACTTCTCGACCTTGGCTTGACCTTGACTGGCCCGAGGATTGTCCCTTTAGGTTGAAAGAAAAGTCCATCTTCCACAGTAAATTTATGTGTCATATATTATTCTACATACTGTACATTATTCCTTTAAAAATTTGTTTTTCTAGTGTACTTTTCCCTGGCGGAGCTACTTATTTTAATCAATCAGATGGTTACGCTGATGCTGGTCAGCATATATATGAAATCGCTCAGGAGTTTAACGATGCCGGCGACTATTTCCCAATTTTCGGAACCTGCTTGGGATTTCAGTTAATCATCATATTGGCTTCTGGCCGCGGACCAAACGAAAACAGGGAGACCTGTTACTCCTTTGAAAATTTGCCGCTAATATTTGCACCAGGTACATTTGTACATAGAAAATAATTAAGTTTTTAAATAAAGTTATACTTTGTCAAAATTTTCAGTGTAAACGAACATCGGGGAAGATATTATTTAACATAAGGCGAACATGACTTGCCTGTTTGCTCTTTGTTCTTTTAAATAGTAGAGATTATGTTATTATTATTAACACGTCTAGGTTCTAATAGCATCACCTATTACAAATTAAACTGAAATTATGCTACCTATGTAGAATATTTAGGGCACGTTTCTTGGCAATTTATATATTTTTAGACTTTCGCACAAGTAAAATGTTCAAAGACATGAACGAAGACATACTCAAAATTCTCGCTACGGAAAACGTCACAGCAAACCTTCATCAATTTTGTATTCTGGATAAGGTAAGAAGTACATATAATATCAAGAAATCCTGGGACTAGTGGCGGGCCGTCGGGACATATTCACATGGTATCCCTTCAAATAAAAAAACATTATCGTATCTGCTTTCTTTTACGCTTTTTAGAGCTTCCGTTCCGCACAGCACCGAGATTGCGCCTGATTTGGTCACACCCTGGCCCTTGGACCTGCTGCGGAATGTGAATAGTATTCCTTAACAGGAAAAATCTTTAAAATTGATTTTTTAAATACTGAATTATTTTCAATGTAGTTTTCTTTAGCTTCGAAGCTTCCGAGTTAAAATAAATAAATCTTATGGATTGGCCTGTGTAATAAAATATATAACTATTTCATATTTCAGAATCTAGAAAATTATTATTTAACGAAGGACTGGAGACCAACTTCTTACGGATATGATGCAAACAATATAAAATTCATTGCGTCTTATGAGCATACTAGGTCAGTAGCCTTTTTTATCAGAGATACGGAATTGGGTTACGGTTACGGGTTCTTAGACATCCTAAAGATTCCGTATCTTTTTGTTGTTTGTACTAAACGTTTATTCTTTTGGATAATTTTGACTAATCGGATCTTCATCCTGATGCGTTATTGTCACCGTAAAATTGTAAACACCGTTAGATCTCGACTTTGCTTTATAAGAGAATCAAATTATTCAGTATTGCTTTATATATGTTAACGTAAAATTGTAAACACCGTTAGATTACATCTATCTCGCGAGATTGTAAACTGTCGAAAGATTGTGAACCTCAAGGAACTGCTTACTGCTTCATTTCATTTCCAACACTAACTTAGTTATCATTCAAACTTCTTTGGTCAATCACAGATTAATTTTACTTCCCAACAATTTCATATAACTAATTCTAAAGCTGTGAGTTACTTTCAACACGACATCAATTTACATTCACCAGAACAATCAAGTTACATTCGACAACAAACAAATATGGTGGCGCGGGGCATATTCCGTTCAACCAATCAGCGCGCGAGGTGCGATCCGTTTCACAATTTGACGGTTTCACTTCGATTGAATACAATCTACCGAATAATAATACGTTAAATTGTAAGCAGTACGCTGATGTTCACAATCTTTCGACAGTTTATAATCTCGCGAGATAGATTACAATCTAACGGTGTTTACAATTTTACGTTAACATATATAAAGCAATACTGAATAATTTGATTATTTTATAAAGCAAAGTCAAATAGGAAAGTTTATTAATATTGTTTAAGGAGTTAAATAAAATATTCCAACTATTCATAATTTTGTTCCATACATTTAAAAACGGTGCATGTTGGATTATCTGTACAAACAAGCCCTCTTTATATACCCAAATATTATTACTTGTTTATTTTATTTAGGTACCCCTTCTACGCTGTTCAGTTTCACCCAGAGAAGAGTTCATTTGAATGGAAACGATCCAAAAACTATCCTCATTCAATGAATGCTATCAAAGCGAACAGGTACTTCATGGACTTTTTCGTGACAGAATGTAGAAAAAGCACTCATTCATTCAATAATGAAAGAGAAGAGAATGTGAATGTGATTTACAATTATCCAGCTGTACCAACAGGTATCCTTGGCAGCGCTCATCATCAATGTTACTTCTTCGAGCCGAGAGGAATTGTGTCCAGTCGTTTTTAGACCAATTGGAGGCGCTTGAACTAAGTTTTTTTATTTAAAAAACCTAATAAAATTCTGCTCTTCCCGTGAGGAAAAATTCTTTAATAAAATATATTCAACAGCATTATAACGCGTTTATTTTACTTTTAATTTAGAATAGTATAATTAAAATTAGTTTTATTCGGGAAAGTGCAATTTATTTTATAAAGTAAAGTAAATAAATTTATACTATCTTAATATTATATATGTATATAAATTACGTGTCACGTTGTTTTGCCGCTATGGACTCCTAAACTACCTAACCGATATCAATCAAATTTGCACACCGTGTGTAGTTTGATCCAACCTTAAAGATAGGATAGCTTACATCTCAATCTATACCCGCAATATTATTTTATTGCTAAATATTTGTTTATTATTTGATAGTCACAATTGTAACAGATGGCACTGTGTTGAAATTACCAACGTTTCACATAAGCTACAATTTAATGGCATAACCACCAAAAAAGATTGGTGGATTGGTGTTCTACTGCCGTTTCTCTTGAATAGTTTACTACTATGTAATATAGCAAAAATCTTAGCCACATCAACGCTTGGCCGAGTCTACTAGTATTTGTATAAAAAAATATATTTTACAGCCTAGACATACAACTTTAAATAATTGAAATAAAATATTTAATAAAATTAGGGCGTCTGCAATCGCATTTTTATCTTGTTCAATCATTCGAAACCAATTTATAAGATAAAAGTGTAATTCTAGAGTCGAGAGACACAATATGACCCTCCGACCTATTTGTCCTATATAATATGAAGAAATTTCACTTAAGTAATTTTAGGTTCAAGTTTTACAGATTCTCACGCAACCTTAATATAAAAAACTTATTTATTAAAAGTGTGGTCGTGAGTTCGTGCGTACGAGTCACGGTACTAGTGGATTTTATTATTCTTCTCAGTCCTCCTAGCAATCGTTTCCCATGCAGTAGACTGAAAAATCGACGGAGTGTGTCAGGTTGCAGGCTGATCACCTACTTGCCTATTAAAAGAAATAAATGATTACAAAAGAGTCATAGAAAAGGTTGCCGCGCCATTGGTTTTTTACAATATGTATTCGTTATTATTTTAAAATCCAGTGGCACTCCAACTATGTGGTATCAGATTAAATTAAAATTTCTTTAATTATTATATAAATAATAATTAAAGAAATTGTAATTTAATCATATACCATGTCTTAGGGCCGAAAATTGACGACGCATGTCTGAAAGTTCTACTTGGTTAAAAAAAGATTTGTTGTTTACCTCCTGGTCCATTGGTGGATTACGGGATTTCATTCAATATTTAAGACACAATATATACTACTATATCGATAGTACATATCAAGCATTAAATGTTTTTAAAACAATTTCAGTGTATAGTGATATTATTCAATTAACAAAATATTGTAATTATTACGTGAACTGAGAAATTGTTTTCTTTAAATGTAATAATCGATATAGTGTTTTGTAATAAAGCGGTGAGGGCCGATCAAACATAGCTAAGGGCTGTTTGCTTTTGTCCTCAACCACAGCTGAAGGGTACCGACCTAAAACTTGACAAGATACTCAATACGCGTACTGCCTCAAGCTGTTGACACCATTCTAGATTGTCCAACCTATGGATATGGTTTGGGTGAGAAAAAATCGCTACGTATTTGTATGAGACGGGGCAGACACATTTATGTATCTAAAAGTAAGAAGGCACTCAGTTTAACTAGCAAAAAATAGTATCGAAGCCAAGTACATGAGTTGTGAGCAATCAGGGAAAACCACATAGAACACTGGTTCTTCTTTTTGAAATGCGTTCACAAATCTTAAACGTAACAAATAATAAATGACAATAATGAACTTATAATTTATTTAAACACAATAAACTCCAGCATTGCCCACAATAATGTTGCAACTTTCTGCCTTTTCAGGAATTGGTTCGGATTTTATTTTTTTATACCGTTTCTCCCTTTTCAGCTTAGCGGCCATTGCATCAACGTCCTTTTTGAGACGGTTGTCCCTAAAATAATTATTAATTCGCAATTTGTACAGAGTAACATAGTAAGACTGTATGAATAAAAATAGATAAATAAAGGGCAATAAAGGTCTGGTTTAAAAAAACTTTTTACTAATACACTAAATATGTAAAAAATACTCGACGAAAAATAAAAAATAAAACTGATTTAAACTATTTCTGTACTTTACTGTACATTTTGTTCATATTAGAGTTCACTAGTACATAAATACCACTTCCAGCTATTATTGAATAAATATCGAATTCATTGGTCTAGTGGTTAGTACCCCTGACGGCGAATCCATGGGTCCCGGGTTCGATCCCCGGCTGAGACAAACATCGATGTGATGAGCATTTGGTGTTGTGCTTAGGTCTTGGGTGTTTAAAATATGTATTTATATGTCTATCTATCTATAATATGTATGTATATCCGTTGCCTAGTATCCATAACACAAGCTTCACCAGCTTAGCTTGGGACTAGGTCAATTGGTGTGAATTGTAAAAAAAAAAATTAAAAAAAAAAAAAAATGTTCTGTCCTTTTTACCTACTCTAATCTAAATTAATGAAATTAAAAACATACAAATAATTTATCCGGCAGCAATAAAAACAAGCTGAAAAGACACACAGTACGGAGCACGCTGCTACAATTATTACAGATAATATAATTCTTTTGAATACATTATCCGCTTCAGCTATTATTTTCTCTGAAACAAAATATTGTATGTGAATATGTTTGTTGTAAAATAGATAATTCAAACAAATAAACATCGGGTACTCGCGACGTTTGTCGTCGTACAGTAAAAAATCTATCGTATTGTGTCATACGTTAGTACACGTATTTTATTATATTTAAGTACGTTCAGTTTATATATTGCTTGTGTCGCAATTCTGTTCTTCAAACACTTTATCTGGTAACGGTGCGATAACGATGCACCCGAATCTGATGATACTGATGGCATTGGCGAAAAAGCGCTAAATCTTGTGGAATCATACCTGAGCGATAGAATTCAAAAGGTAAATGTAAATGGAGCTATATCACAGGGATCCTCTGTTACTATGGGAGTACCGCAAGGCTCCATACTTGGTCCCTTCTTATTCCTCGTCTATATAAATGACCTGCCATTTCTTGTAAAGGAGCTTCACGAGATAGTACTGTTTGCTGATGACACTTCGCTTTTATTTAAAGTGAAACGACAAAATCCATCACTTGATAACGTAAACAGTGCCATCTCCAGTGTAGTTCACTGGTTTAATACAAATAATCTTAAGTTAAACGAAAAGAAGACAAAATGTGTTAAATTTGTAACTACAAATGTAAAAAGTAGTCATTCTCAAATAATAATTAAAGACGAGGAAATAGACTTTGTTGATAATGCGGTATTCTTGGGAATTACTTTAGATAGTAAACTCCAGTGGGGCCGACACATAGAAGGTCTTTCGAATAGGCTAAGTTCCGCAGCGTTCGCAGTAAAAAAGATACGCGATCTTACGGATGAGAACACAGCAAAGCTTGTTTATTTCAGCTATTTTCATAGTATTATGTCATATGGTGTTATTTTGTGGGGTAATGCAGCTGACATTAAATCGATATTTGTAGTGCAAAAGCGGGCTATAAGAGCGATCTGTGGGTTGTCCCCACGGGAGTCGGTCCGAAGCAAATTTAAGGAATTACATATTTTGACTCTGGCAAGTCAATACATTTATGAGAATATTTTGTATGTGCGGAAAAATATAGATATCTTTAAAAAGAATAGTAGCTTCCATAATTATAGTACTTGTAATAAAGACAAAATTAGCGCACCAACCAGAAGGCTGCATAAAACGAGTAATTCTTTCCAAGGCAATTGTATACGCTTTTTCAACAAAATCCCTAGTGAGATACAAGCGTTGTCAATAAATAAATTTAAATCGTACATTAAAGTAAAACTGCTGGCTAAGGCTTATTATAATATAAATGAATATTTAAACGATCCTAGTGCTTGGATATGAGTTGCTCCAGTATATATTATAGGTAACACGACTGAATCTCTCGGCTGCATTACCAGGCTCTGGGGTGATCGTCAACATCCACGACTGTTTTAATGTAAAGTGGGAACAAACCGTGATCCATGTGGTATCCAATTATTTCAGTATTATTATTATTTTCTTATGTAGCCAAGTCCACATTTCAAGGATCGTCATGCTCGCTTAAATGTCATTGCTTGTGGCGGCGTCCATGCGTCGGGTTGTCTCTCTCCCTAAAATATGGCGAGGGGGCCGATGGCTAGCCATGCGTCATACTCGTGAACGGGTGCTACTTGTGGTGACTGGTCGTACTTGAATTCGTGTATGCGGTGATGTTAATTATTTCGACTATGTGTTTGCGTGTTGTTCCCACGAGAATGTAAGTGCGTGCTCCTATTTCACCATGCCTCCTGCTGATAGGGGACAAGTCTTTGTTTTTATTTATGTTATTATTATTAATTACTTAAAATGTCATGTGGAACATAGTGTAATGGTTGCAGCTCCTTACAAACGTTGTGTAAAAAAAAAAAACATGGCGATTAAAAAGAGTGGCGGAGAGTTTATTGCCAGTTCTTCTCTTCCGTTCTACGCCCTTGATTTGAGAACTGGCAGTAAATGTAAAATTAGAAGCATTAATATTTATTTCTTTAATGACGAATCACAAGTGTACATTGTGTTACCTACGTGAATAAATGATTTTTGAATTTGAATTTATGCAGGAGTCTTGGAGGACCTTCATTGGAACACCTCCAAGTGATTTTAGCTGCCGGAAATGCGTCAAAGTATTTTAAAATTTTTTTAAAGTTTTGTGAAATGTATTGAAATTTGTAAACAATCCACCATTATCTTTTTTTCTATTGGTTATAAGTGATGTGACATTTTCGGTAAATTAATCGAATCGATTATTTTCTCATTTGTTATTTTTAAAGTGGAACCTAATCGAATATATAAACCTAACCTAACCGATCTAAATAATATTTGTTTTTTTGGACAGCTCCTGATCTAAATAATAATAGTTTATTCAAGCCTCCGCAACTCGGCGTCTTGGTCCAAATATTCATATACTAACCTAACCTAACCGATCTTAATAATAATTGGTTTTTGGACAGCTCCGCACTTCCGATTATTTATATACACTCTAGGGGTATGGCAGACAAGACCACGTGGATAGTGGGGTGCTCTGATTCGGTTTTGGGTACTTTTTGAATAATTTAAAAATTTTCGGAACCATACACTAATTGATACATGAAGTTAATGTAATGTATGTACATTTGACAAGTAATGGTTAAATTAGGTTCAACTTTAAAATTAACAAATGAGGAAATAATCGATTCGATTAGGTTCAACTTTAAAAGTAACAAATAAGAAAATAATCGATCCGATTAATTTACCGAAAATGTCACATCACTTAAAACCAATAGAAAACGTGAATTTCACATCTCTTATAACCAATAGAAAAGTAAATAATGGTGGATTGTTTACAAATTTTAATACATTTCACAAAACTTTAAAATTTTTTTTAAATACTTTGACGCATTTCCGGCAGCTAAAATTACTTGTAGGTGTTCCAATGAAGGTCCCCCGAGACTCTTGCATAATCAGTATCATCAGATTTGGGTGCATCGTTATCGAACCCAACCCCTTTATCTGAAGTAGAAAAGGCTCCTTGTATGTCATGTTATATGTATTGCGGTGTTGCAAAAAACGGTTCGGTGGCCGTTGATAGACTTTTTTTTTCAAATTAAATTGTAAGCCTTAAATACATCTCTATATATGCTTGATTCAAAGCTAATAATGAAAAAAAGGCACACAATGGTTAGTCGTATAGGAACAATGAGGCGGTTAGACTGATAAGAAATGCTTTGCCTTCAAATAAAATCACAACATACGCACAAACACTTACTAAAACTATATTTTAGGTGCATTGAGGCAGTAATTATATAATCTAAACTAGCAGTATAACAAAACAACAGCGGAATATAAAATAAAATGTGGCAATCGGCCGTGTCAAAAATTTTAGATCACCTTCAACAAAATTTATAGAATAACAATATATATATTTCGAACAATTACAAAACTAGTACACTATCCTTACCGTGTATATCATCTTTTTCTTGTAATGTATGCAAAAACTGTTGAATGTTTAATTCACATTCCTGCGTAGTTTCATTAAAAACAAGAACTCTGAAAAATGTTTTTCAATTTAAAGAAAATACAGTTTGTCTGTCTTAGTTAAAAATTACTGTTCAAAATAGAATTACACAGAAAAAAAAATCCTCATCAAGTATCACAAATTTTTTAAATAATAATTTCGACTATTGCGATTGTCTGGATTATTTTTGAGAAAAGATATTGTGGATTTCTATCCTTTTTCTTTCCACTTCTATTACTTACAAATACATTTTGCAAGTCGATTCGACCAAACAAGAGTAAATCTTAATCTTAGAATAAATCGTCAGTTAATCGAGAGTAAATCAATTTTACGTTTTACTATCTACAAATTCTAAGAATAGTGGGCCTATTCGGGAATTGTTACTATACCGCCGTTTCGCACGGAATAACAGCTATTCCTAGAATAATTTAATGGCGTCAGTCAGTCCAATCATCTGATTTCTGTCATTTCACAAATATGTATTCTGTGTTTTAATTTCAAGTCAACGCAACGCACTAAATTAATAGTCTGGCATTGTATAAAGAAACGTTTAAACAATTTATTATTTATTTATTTATTTTTAGTAGATTTATTTTCTATAATATTAGAATGAAGTTCAACTAGGCTCAACAGAAGTTCCTTTTTAGACTAAAGCCTCAAACAAACAACAAATAAAAACTTTTTGTTGTCGTTTGACACCTGTTAAAAGCTACTTTTTCACACTATAATACGGCAAAATCGAGTTGACATGATGTATGCTCTTACACTGTCCCGTTGTAGAACAACATTTATTTGCCGAGTTTTATTTTCGTTCACCATTCTCTTTGCTATTCGCGTATTGTTATTCCTAGCGCAATTATACTATCAATTACGTGGAGAAACGACTATGGATTTACTCGAGATTAAAATCATGGAATAGATTATTCCTGGTATAGTTACTCGTGTATAAATTGAAGTTTGGTCGAATCGACCCTAAGAGGTGAATGTATGTTTACCGAACTTACGGCTTTAAATAAGCGCAATAATCACTAAATCATACTTACAGTGAATAAGTGTCACAACCACACTTCTTATCACAGCTATCAGGACTCGTAATGCAATCACCAAGCTCACCACATCCATTTGATGACGGTCCCTGAAAAAAATTAAACATGCATCTTGATTACAGAACATCTCCAGAGTTGTCTTTTGTCTGACGTTTGACTTCAATTTCATTTCGTTAATTGTTATATTCATAAATCAGACAGCTTAGGTTGGAATTGGATCTTCATAAGTGGTGTTCCCTGTTGGTGTGTCTAACAAATGGCTGTCAAACATATGTTTTAAACTTTCACAATAAAATAACTTAGAACAAAGCATTGTAGAAGTGAGAAGAACTGATTAGGTTATGTTAAGTACGATAAAAAGTAACTCTAAATTGAAGGATACAAAAACATGTTAAAGATTGAAATAGACGGCGGGACAGATGGTAACAAAAGGAGGAAATGGACAATGAGGGTAACTGTGCAAATAGAAGTAAAGGTCGATTCACACATATCAGTGAGCCCACAGTTCCGGCACAGTACCGCATCAGTGATAATTATTCTTTCAAACATTCTCTATGGATGTATTCACACTTGTCAGTGTCAGTGTCGTCTCAGTACCGTCAGTGTCAGTGCCGGCACCGGCCATCACGGACGTGATCGGCGACAACGATATTTTATCACGGATCACTGACGCCGCGTTATTATTTGTTACATTTTATTTATTGCAGAAGAATATTGAAGCAGCTCGCTGACATTTTAAAATATTTTCTTTAACTAATTCTTTGTATAATATGATGAATTCTCCTTCCGTCTCTCTTAATTGCCATGCTTCATGTACCCATTTTCTTTTTTGTCCTTGATGCTGCTCTTCTTCTTCGTCTAAAGCAACAGCTATCATTGCTAGCTCCGTAGTATTGAACAGAGCCATAATCACGTTACTTGACAACGCGACGGACACGTTTTCACTGAAGCTCCGTAAACTGAGTACTGACATGTGTGAATTGAATGACTGACGAACCACTGTAGCACGGATACGGAACTGTAACGGTACTGTGCCGGAACTGTGGGTTCACTGATATGTGTGAATCGACCTTAAGGGAAGACAGATGAGGTGTTGGGAGGACGTCATAGTCAAGGCTAGCCGGGAATAGATTACAGAAGGACATATCAACATGAAGACATTTAGACGAGGCCCCTGTCGAGAGACAAGCTGATAGCAGTAATAAAAGTAAAAAATGAAATAACTATTCCCTAGGCTAAGTACAGCAAATAAGACTTATTTAATTTAAATTGTGTGTCTTGAAATAAATTATTCTTAATATAATTTACGAGAGTTTAAATAATAGAAACAAGTAGTCTGGGTAAGTAATAATTATAATTGTTAGTAAAAATAATAATAATACAAACAAAATTGGATCGACCTTCTGAAAATCAATTAATCGAAATTAAAAAATAATATATCTCATAACTCTATGAGTGTTTTTTAATTTTCTATCTATTATTAAGTGAACTATTTAATAATACCAATAATATGGTTCTTGAGCATGCGACCCTTAACCTTGAGGTCGTGCATTCGAATCACAGCTTGGCACCAATTAACTTTTCCATGTGTGTTTGGTGAAGGAAAAATAGCGTTGGGAAATTGGCACGCTCTAGACCCAAAAGTCGCCTCTTAAGATAAGAAACTAATTGTTTTACTCATAAATGGGGCGACACAAAATACAATTTACAATATTGTATTGATATATATCTATAAATATAAAATATCATAGTAAATCATGATTGGTTACTATTTTTAAATAAGGTACTTACGTCCGATACAGCAGTAGATATGAATGCTTTAGAAAACAAACATAATTATTTCAGAAACATATCTAAGTAATAACTATCATATACTTTACATAACGATGATTAATTTTTTTTTTTTTTCACTAATATGATGCTTACGAATGAGTAGTGTCAACAGCCATAAATTATTCATTTTTATACAAATTAATACATTATATTTCTGAAACACAGGTAATGTATTTGAACGAACGGTTGAAGCTCACTGCCCAGTTGTAATGTCCTTTATTTAGATTCTGTGAGCCTAAAATAGCTCGTATGACCTCGTTCATATATTACTCGGATTAGCAGGTCTACAGTTTCGACAATCGAATGGGAAATACTTTCTTATTTAAGTAAGTTTCCTTTTCAACGAATTTGTCAGTCTTAGATTGAGAGGGATCTCATGTTAAGCATACTTTTCTAAGAAGGCAATTAAAACTAATATTTCTTTTTATTATTGGTTTCTCGGACCTGGATTTATGATTTCAAAGCTATGGGCAAGGAATGAAAAGTACATCCAAGTTAAATAAGAGTAATTTTTAATTGAAAGCAAGACCGACCTACATGGATAATAAGATATCAATTATTTCGAGAGTTTCATCGTGCCAACAAAACGTTTCATGTATTAATGATTTTTCTATGATTTCATTGTGCATTACATATTTTACCGCTGCATAAGTATTTATTTGACGTTAACGAATAGGAAATAAATTATTAAAAACTTCCTTTATCCTAAATTAAGCTCCAGGGAAATTATCGCCGATTTCAAAGCTTTGATCCCCAAGGTCAAAATGATGTCATGTCAAATTCACCAATCATGACCAAGATCCGATGGGGGTCAGTGTCCGATAATGTTCAAAAGGTTTTTGTGATGCGTTCATTTGGAACCAAATTAAAATGAGAAAAGTTATTTGCCGTTTCACTTGTTGGTTATTTTATTCATTCAGCCATTTTTTAACAAGAATGTAAATTATTTGTCATTTATTTTCCACTTATTTGGTTTCGTGTCGCGTTTATGGAATGTAGTTTCATGTTTATTAATGTAAAGAACCTCAAAATAAAAACGGAAATTTAATTTATATTTTTGAACGATATATTTTACTATGATAAGCATCTTAAATATTACCTTGGTACTAATGGAATACAACGAAAGTAAGTAAAACTAATTAAATATAAACGTACCCTTATCAAGTACGACAGGGTATATACTATATGTCTTTCACGCGTCAATAATTAATCGTACAGTTAAAGAAAACATAGTTTCAAATTTCTTTTCTACCCAAGCAAACCAGATATTCAGTGACGGAAACAAATATAAAAAACCTATTGTATTTGTTCCTCGTACATAACCAACAATGATATAAATACGCTTAACACCCCGAACACTTTCTTTAGTTTGTATATAGAATACCCGTATTTTTTATACGAATAGCTAATAAAAGAGCTTGCTTTAAAACGTTCAATACAAATTAAGAAGCACGTATAAATGCACGTTTATAAATTAACATGTTGACTAAATTTACTTATTTTGTCCTCTAATCAATTTTGTAAAAATCCAGCTAAATATTGTATACATCCTAAGCTGAGTAATCACTGATATTAATTTTGTCTGTCAAATTGATATGGTGGTGTCTCCAACTGCTGTAAATAGCTGTAAAGCACTTGAAACGTCATGTCGTAAATGATTGGTTTAAAGCCGTCAATTTTTCATTTAAATATTAATTACCTTTAGTACAGCCTTTAGTAGAAAAATAAAATACTAGTTTTGGTTTTTTGAGAAATATCTTTTCCATATAAACATGATTAGATAGAGAAAACATTCGCTTAGACTACTGCTACAGTTTAATATCGCCTCGAATTCTCTGGAAATTACAACAAATAATATTCTATTATTTGTATATTATAACGTTTATGAATAAGACTAATTTATCTTTTAGCAGAACCAGAAAACGTAGTTGTCAATGGATTCCTTGTCGTTATTTGCAGATACTTTTAGTTATTTATAGTTGAGCCTACGTTCAGGGGATGAGAAGATACTTGAAGGCTTCGACCGGGCCTGCACCACTGACCCAGTTCCCACGCTCAATGAATGCGGAACTACTCAAGCAAAGCATCATTACTTTATGTATCAAATATAACTTATAATTATTTACATAACATTTTTCTGATGAAATGAACTGAATGACTGAAATGAATTGAACTAATTGAATATTTTTATACATTGCACCTAAGCTGACGTGGGGTTACGTATAATTATCAAAACATTTAAATTTTTAAATATTTCACTCTTTTTAGTGTTTAATTTCTTTTTTGTATCCAGATCGGTTAATATGTTGAAAACGTACAAATCTTTTCGGTTTTTTAACGTATTGTTGAATACTATTTAATTTCAAAGTACTCTTGAGCTATAAAAATATTCATAACTCAATGAAGCATTTCATGTTGAATAGAATGCGGTAGTCGAAGGACGACGCTTGCACCGAGGTCTTTGGCCGCGTGTCCCAGTTTCACGTTTGACGTCACAGCTACACCCTCTGACGTCACACAACGGGCCCCATTCAAAACTGGAACATAGGCACCCCTGCAACATGCAGGTCGTATTCACTGGAGGTCATTTCACCCCTCTGTCCTTCTATTTATAAAGCAGGAAATATGAAAGGTCACTATTAAATTAATAAATCATTATTTACTGATAATATGACGATACATTTTGGACAGATTTAGTTCGAAACCACAGAAGATTTAAAAGTTTCACGAATTACGTAATTCGCAAAACATTACAATTATTTTTATGTTGGTTTTCATACTTTATAGTAGTTACATAAGTATGCCTATGCCTTTTATTTACTCCAGCACGTACCTTGTTGAGTTAAGAATTTTTATACATAATGTGTAAAAATAATAAATGCTATAGGTATTTTTGATAGTATAGACAGTTAAAAAATGAAATCAGTAAGTAGTAAACGTAGTTAAAACTTGGTGTTTAACAAACAGTTAAATATACCACGAAATAGATAAAGTAAGTTTTAATTGTTATAAGTGTTTGTCTTATTATTAACGTATCAGGGTTATAAAAAAGTACTTTTGCGGTTTCTTTTATTATTATTTAGCTTATACATACAATTTAAACGCAATATAAAAAATGACTGAAACGTGTGTACTGTGTTTTTTCTTTTAACTTCTTTTAACTTAAGGGTATTCGCAAAATAGATACGAAATAACAGTGACGCGCACGGCTATACTTGAATGAACTTAATTATGCAAATCGCAAATTACCGCCTCACTGCGTCTAACATGTCGAAATTGTAAAATATAATAATGGTATTGTTTCTATGGAGACTACATCAGTTTTTCTCTGCATTAGTTATTCATTTTATACTTGAGACTACATTTAACTGACTAGAAATAAAATAACCGGGAACAATAATAAATTGGTAACACAGATTATAGAAATTGATTAAATATAGCCATTCCAAATTTAAATGTTTACTATTTTAAACTTGAAAAATGTAGAAATTTGTGATTATTACGTGGTTCTTGGCAAACTAGAGCAGTGCTGACTAGAAATTTGAAATCATTTTGAAAGATCTATTTATAGAACGATCCTTGACACAAATAGCGAGGGTCATGCCCTTTTGAGATCGCACGATGAAGCTGAAGGTTTTGTTCAATGAAAACTCAGACTGAAACGACTTAAATGAACATCTATTATAAGTTTAATTAATACTCAGAAAAAAGATCCTTCTTTTAAAAATTGTGGCTTTGTTTCTTTCCTGAAAATGAATTCCGCACCTACAAATTAATAGCTTTTTATATCGAATTACAGTCAGTATGTAAGCACGCCCAACTTCTAAACCGATTCAATAAAGTCAACATTCATTTTGGAACAAACAGTGACAAGTGCCAATAAACAAAAAAAAATTTTCTTTATTGGCACTTGTCATCGATTTAGACCTGGACCTGATAATGTTAACTATGTACACTTATGAATGTCAATATTTAAAAAAAAGGATCAAAATTTACATTTAGTACCAATACCCAAATCAAGGGCGGAGAGCGGGCGAGAAGAACTGGCAAGAAACTACCCGCCAGCTTTTTTAATCGCCAGGTTTTGGTCTACAAGAATGCACGACGTACAGTCATATGAATCTTTAAGCACTAGGCTCTACAGATATATCAGCATTATTCATATCCTGGAAAGGATCGACTCGCTTTACACACCTGGTATTTGAGCCATAAAACGGATGCAGAATATTTGTCCAATGAGAATAGTCATTATTCATAGACGTAGTTTTATTATAGACTAACCGTAAAACTGTCGTTGAAATCGTTTAAATCCTTATAAACCTTGCACGGATTTTTATGGAAGGTTACTTGAAATGGGCAATAAAATTATTATTACTCCATTTAATGCTTCGTCATTTTGTGACACGACCTAGCTCTACTTAAATGACACAAAGATACATATATAATCTGATTTTTAGACAGATTATCATACATGATTTTTTACTTGAGATAACTGGATGGCTTAGTCAGTGATTAGGCCTTGGTATACTAGCCAATTGTGTAACTAATCTTGCGATTATTCAAGTGGCTCTTCCACCTGCTTGCTGATGCCTGGTTTAGATGTATTGTTATTCTAGATCATCAAACAAAATTAAAATAAAATATGTTTATTATGGACTATAAGATACAGGTACCACTTATTCCACGTCATTAAATTGTTACGGTAGACATCCCTACTCATCGGCAAAGAAGACAAAGGGTGTAAGCTAAGGGAAAAAGTCGGCGTAAAAAACTCTCGGTACTCTTTTAAAATATGAAATCATCATACAAAATGGCTATGGCAAACAATACTTATTTTAAAACAAATATCGCAAATTAATTAGAAGTAGCCTGTCTAGCACTAGTCCCAGGCCCTTTTATCAACTGAGTCTTTTTCACAGCTTTTCTTTAATACATTTCTTAAATTTATTAAAAGGCAGATATAAAAGAGCCTCTGGGATTTTAATAAAGAAAAGTAACTCTTTCCCAAAAAAGAATTTCTAACTTTATTATATAGTTTATTAGATAGTCTAGTACGGGAAAATTTCAGCCTGCTTTTGTTCCGAGTATTAACTTTAGGTATATGTTCTATTCTAGTAAACTATTTTT